GCTCACACTTTTCACACTTGAGATATTTTCGAGGAGATCACTTCACTCCCATATAGACACACACTTAAATTTGGAGCTTTAGCAATATAAGTACTCTAATTAGGAGTAAATAGATTTCGGAATTTCTAAATAGGGCTGTTGTGTTTTTTCTTCTCGAATTAGGATCGGAGTAACATAACAATATGATTTTGGTTCAAGTGAGAAATACATCTAATGTGAGAAATGAGAATGAATATCAGTCATTAGATTTACGAAGTTGCACTAAAATGGTTTTATGCTGCAATAATATTTAAATTTTGCAATGTTGCACTAAAACAGTTTTATGTTGAGCACTAATATTTGACGGCGTTGCACCGAAATAACTTCATGTTGCACTAGAGAAGTGTAATATGGATTTTTCAAAAGTATTTACAGAAATGCCACCGTGCTAGATTGCATATTTCAGTGTATCATGATGTGTCTTAACTTTTACTGCAACTTAATCGAATCCAATGGTTGAGATTCATTCTCACTTCTCACCTAAAGGGTTATTCTCACTTGAACTTTACTCAAAAAATATTGACTGTCAAATAGTTGTAGTACTAGGCACTAAGCATGACAATATTTACTATTGTTTGCTAAGCATGATTGTCAATTTTCCTAACCCCTTTTAAGCTCTTTTCAAGTATCAGGTACACATCATTCGTTCAAAATACTCCATTAACATTAGTCATATTCTCTATTGTTTCCAAGTACCTAGTAGCATTGTTGTACTTTGGCACAAATTTTAGTAAGTGAAAGAAATTAAATTAAATGTGGGGATAATAGTGATTGCTCATTGATTGTTCATAGGACATTGGTCATATCGGCATCACGTGTGAAAAGCGCTCGTGAATACAGGCACTTTGGACTGGTTAGCATTTTTCAACCACTAAAGCATTGTTGAATTCACCAAACAACCGCAGTTCTGCTACTTTCAGTTATTCATTGATACGAGTAATAAAGTACTCCTCGGTTTCCATCTCGTTTCATGTGTCTAATTTGTACGGACTACAATAAAGCAAAATTATTTTAAAATATGCACCAAGAACTTCTTAAAATTTGCAGTGAAATGTCTATTGCCTATAAACATAAAATAATTTTAATGAAAATAAAATAGGAAGTGGATCTTTGGCAAACAATAAAAATTAAGATACTAAAATGAGACAAAAGGACCTAAATAGGTATAGAAAATGGTAAAAATACTTTTGGTTGAGGTAGAATGGCAGATAGAGAATGATAAAACAATACTACCTCCGTCCTTAAATGTTTGTCCTAGTTTGACTTCACAGATATTAAGAAAATGTATTTGACTTACACTGTAGTGACACTGTTTGACACTGTAGCGACACTGTTTTACACTGTTTGGCACTGTTTGATAAAGATTTGTTTGCCAAATAAGGAAAGAAAAAAGTAGGACAAACATTTTGGGATATCCATTTGGCAAAGTAGGACAAACATTTAGGGACGGATGGAGTATTACCCCTGTCCCTCTAATATTGGAACAAAAGTTGTGTGGTTTTTAAGAAAATTAGAATTATGTGCTTGATAATGAGTTGATAAAGTAAAAATAAAGTAAGAACGAATTAGAGCCACACTAATTTTACTAAATATGGTATGACACAATAGTAGGGGATATCCAAAAATGAAAAAATGAGACAATTATAGGGGACGTAGGAAGTACTAGTTATACTCTACTTGTGTTACAAACTACTCCCTCGGTAACGATTCCATGAAGTTTAAGAAATTATATATAATTTCTTAAACTTCCATCACCTGCGATGGTAAAGGTCAATATTGATGCTTTTGTGAATGCATCAGGCTGCGACTTTGGCTGGGTGGTGAGGGATGACTGTGGGAAGTTTCGGGGAGGAGGGGCATGTTCGTGGGCGGGGCAATGCAGCCCAGTTGAGGCTGATTGTTGGCTATCCTGGAAGCTTTAAGTTGGTTGAAGGATCAACAATGGTCGTTTTTGGAGGTGGAGTCAGATTCATTGCAGGCCATCATCGAGATTCTCAAGAGGTCTAGCATTTCTTATACGGGTCTTCTGGCTATGATATTAAAGCTTATGAAATGCAATTTGGGAGCATTTCTTTTCCACATAAAAGGCTTTCGGCGAACTGTGATGCTCATACTTTAGCTAGGGCCAGGGGCGGAGCCAGAAAAATGACTCAGCGAGGTCGAAATCAAATTTACATAGAATCAAAACGGTAGATTATTTTTAGACAATGCCCAAATTGAATGTAACTTAGATAAATGATAGTTTAAATGAAACTAATAGAGTATATGTAGTTAATATACTTTGTAAAATTCCTCACATATATTATAAACTTGTTTTATACGGGTTGAGTTGAGTATCTCGGATGAGACCCATTTTCTTACCATAGTACTCTATGGTTCTCTTCGATCTTACTCGGTTTAGTATCAAGATTTCTTACTAGAAAAGTAGAAAAGAATCATTTATTGAGTAGGCACTTGTAGCAGTAAGATATGTTGTCTTTGCTCTGTCCCTAAGTCATGTCATGTAAGTAACGAATGAATTACACACTATTTTGTGAATATAATTAATATTACGCATCACAATTTTACTAATTTCAAACTTAAATAGTGCTGATTTTGCAGAAGTCGTAACTTTTTACTCGTAATGAGTTACGAGAGCCATAATATATCAAATCGAAGATATTTCAGAGCTCTACACTCTTAGATTTTCAGCGGGGTCGGCTGACCACCCTGACCCCCAGTAGCTCCGCCCCTGGCTAGGGCGTCATGTTCTTTGTCTGATCACCAAATTTGGCTTAGTAATCCCCTGATTGTATCACTCATGTTCCCCATCATGATTTGATTAATACGGAGTACAAGTTTATTGCCTCTTTGCCAAAAAAAATATACAAATCTGAAAAAGTGGGGTTGGTAATATATCAGTGCTTTACACTTTATAAGTGGTACCTTAATTGACTCCTAGGTTGATCGTTTTCCAAAAAAAAAGGATGTAAGGTAAATACTCTGTATTTTGCAAGAGAAGAAGGAAACTACCCAGTCTGGTCGTCTTCCTAATTACTACGAAGTATATGGATTTTCTACTGTTTTCACTTCAAAATTAGTTCGTACTATAGTTTTCAAATCTAGCATATTTGAGTCACATTTGGTTTGGTCAAAATTGCTCTACTTTGTAATGCCATATATTATCTTTCTTAATATTTCAAAGGGGCTAATTACTAGCGACTTAGGATGTTTTTACTTGGACTGTAATTTGTCCCAGACCAGTCCAGACCAGACCAGACCAGACTTGAATAGTTATAAAAATACATAGAAACCAGACCTTACCAGACCAGACCAGACCAGACCAGATCAGACCAGACCAGACCAGCAAATTACAGTCCAAGTAAAAACATCCTTAATGGACTTGTTGCCAAAAACTTATTTAATCATTTTATTGTACTGTAGTAGTCCTGATAAGGCGTCTATTAAGAGAGTGTTTGCAATCACTTAAAAAAAACACTTCTCAGTTTTTGGCTTAAAAACACTTATTTACCAAACACTACCAATGTTTACTTTTTCTCGGCTTGCGTGTGAAAAGTGCTTTTTCCCTTTTTATTACACAAAAAGCACTTATTTTACCAAACACTATCAACTTTTACTTTTCAAAATCACTTTTTTCTCAAACACTATCAACTTTTCCTACTAATCACTTTTTCCTTACATCTCCAAAAGTGCTTTTTTTAAGCAGAAGCAGTTGCAAACACTCCCTAAGACGTTTACTCAACCAATATTTTAAACAGATTATGGAATAGATTTATGTTAATAAATAAAAGTGAGATGACTACAAAGGAAAGATTGGACAATCTTAGCGAGGTGGAGGGAGACTCTGTATAATCAGGGGCAGAGCCTATGCTCTTAACAAGATTAAGCCGGTACAAATAATATTTTTGAAAAAAAACTTACGCCAGAAATTTAGCATAAGTAGATATAAGTGCATAACTAAGGGAGTGTTTGCGATTGCTTTTAATTTAAAAAAGAGATTTTTAAAAGTGATTTCGGAAAAAGTACTTAATAGTAAAAGTTGGTAGTGCAGTGTTTGAAAAAAAGTGATTCTGAAAAAGTAAAAGTTGGTAGTGTTTGGTAAAAAAGTGTGTTTTGTGTGATAGAAAAAGTGAAAAGCAGTTTAAAGCACTCTTCCACATGCTTCTAGCTTTTAATTTTTAAGTGATTAATTTAAGCAGAAGCTGTCATTTGAAAACACTTTTTTCAGTTTTTTTTAAGTCAAAAGCTGAAAAGCGGTTTTTTAAGTAACTGCAAACACTCCTTAGATAACCTAGTTAGCCGGTGATTGTTGAGCTCACAACAATGATAAGCCATAGAAGGCTAGTTTAGGCCAGCACGAGTAGCTCAACTATTAAAGCGTTGGGAAAGTTAGACAAATGACCAAAGATCGAAACCCACCGTGCTGAGGTCACACCTCGTATGTGCTGAACTGGTTCTCTGGTGCGCACAGGTATAATGTCTACCAACGTTAGAATTGACAGAGTCATCATGATTTAAAACTTTCCACATGCTCTGTCGAGTCGGGACGTGGATGCTCTATCTTGAGGTTGGGGTCAACTGGACAAATAGAAGGCTAGTTTAATTAGAAATTTTATACGTTATCATTGAAATAAGTACGTGGCTATATATATAATGATTTTCTTACTATGAATAGAAGTTCCCCACAAACGATCAAACATAACTAATACTCGTAATTAGCTTTAGATAATTAGCTTTAAATAATTAGCTTTTTTGTTGTTGCAAGAATTAGCTTTTTTTTTTAAATAATTAGCTTTTAAAAGTTTGAAATTGCCAATTATTGTTTTAACCTAATATATATCTCTTCTTCCTTTAAGGTAAGGACCTAACCTCCTCATCGAACGGGCAACGGGCAGCCCAAGCCCTATCCCCTCCCCATGATTGATCTACATCTACTAAACCCTACATATATACTCCGTAATCAATATTGCAACTCATCCTCTCTGTTTTACCGTCCAAACATTATCAAACCAATCCCACCTAAATTTCTCTCTATTCCACCCTTTTCTCTTCTTGTTTAAAATAATACAAATTCCGTATAAATATACACTCATATATCCAAATCTGTATATCTATATGGAGTATATATGGATAAATTATCATACGTAGATATATAATTAACAAATACAAGAAACTTTTCATTTCAGTATGTTTCCAGAACTGAAATCATGAGTCCACGCAGGTAAAAAGTTTTCCGTTTCCCTTCAAACATCCATCCTCCAATGGGTCCTTCATGTAGACGACGAAAACAAAAATGTTCAACGAAATCAAGAGCCCTTAAATCCTCACCGTCCATTTCTCCCGCAGGGACGGAGTCAACTGAGTCAACGGTCAACGCTACTGACCAAGAAGGACGGCCTGACGGCGGCGAGATTGAAGCGGCGGCGGATGATATTTGTTTGACGCCGAAAGCTGCGAGGTTTCGGATACCGGAGATCAAGACGTGCCCTCCGGCGCCGAAGAAGAGGCGGCGGACGACTGTGGGGAAGAGCTGCTCGGTGCGGCGAATACCCATCGCCTTCTTTGCGCCGGCGGACTTGGACCTCTTCTTTTACGTTGAACTTCGCGGCGGCGGCGGCGTTCCTGTTTGAATGCTAAGTTGTACTCATGTACTCATGTTAATTATTAATAGGTTTAATGAAATATCAACCCTACTTCAATTGTTCTTTTATGAATTTTAATTTAGGGACCTTTGATTTCGTAGTTGTGTGGTAAATTATGTTTAAGCCCTTTTTAATATTCAATTAGTTAATTATTACTTAAATTAGGTAGTTATTTCTAGTAGTGCTAGGTTTTAGGATTCTTGAGCACTTCGTGTACCATTTTAGTACGTTTTCATCTAGACTGATTTGGTCTATTAAATTCAAGTCTAGCTCTTGGTTAAGTTTTGATCAAAAAGTATGGCATATACTTCGTAGGAACTACTAAGTACTACGTATGTATTTTAGTACGGAGTATGTAATATTGTTTAAGTTTGTTCTTATCTTTTCTTTTTTGTTTTTTTTTGGCCCTTTTTTAATTTGATCTAATTTAAGATTGAATGAGATTGGAACAAATGAAAAAGCGTCCTAGTTAATTTACCGTTTCTCCAAAATTATTTGTTATTTTTGGTCCATAGTTTTTGCCAAAATTATTATCTTTTAGGCATTTAGTTCGAATTTTGTACTCTTTCCTGTTGAAACTAATTAAATGGCGCTTCACTGATTTTTTGTTAGAGTAATTGTCGTTTTAGAAAATTTATGTTTATTTTGTGCAAGTATCTCAAAATTTCCCTTTTCGCCTACTAATAAGTCCTTGTGTGCTTCTTCTAAAAAAAAGTCCTTGTGTGCCTTGCAAAAAAAAGAGATTCATGAAAACTTCTTTAGAACGATAATTCATTTGGATGGATGAAGTATTAGTGTATTACTAGTTACGGAGTACTATGTTAATTGTTTATTTCTTGAAAATAAAACGATTCATGTAAAAATGTAATGCATGTAATTTCCAAAAGGTCGCCCTACATAGTTTCGTACTTGTAGTTGTCATCCATCAACTTAGAAATTTATGATCTTTTTACGTGGATTTATTTAAGATCAAGAGCCCAAAGACTAGTTCAGACCAAACCAATTCGGATCAAAACATACTATACTTCAACAATTGTAAAATACATTGAGATCATATAGATTTATCAGATTAAAAATATGATTTAGAATAAGCATATAAAACTGAAAAAGTTGTTTCTTGATATTTTTTCCCTTTTTTAAAGAGAAGATAAGGTTCCTACCTTATCTATGTGGTTTAAATTGATTTTACTTAACAGCTAACACTTATTTTCTCTTAGAAAATAGACTACATTCAAACATTCTATAGTTTTATGTACTCTTATACACAAGAATATAGGTTAATCGATATTGGATAATCTTGCTTTATGAGATCAAGATAATATTCAAAGCCAATTCTCCACTTTAGCTTATATGGATATGATGCAAGAAGGGTAATTCGAGTATAACAGTGTCACATTTGAAGCATTAATGAAACTTGGTGATAATATGTGGATCTTCACTTCTATGAGAGATTCCAGAAACAAAAAGACAGAGATTTTACTAGCTAGTTGAGCAAAGCAAGGAGAGCAGTAGGTAGTTGTGTTCCGAGGTAATCACAAAGCTGAGGAGATGAAAGTAGTGGATATTCTTTTTTTAGAGGGGGTGATGATGAAATAATGTGGTGATGATGATGAATAACTGTTTTAGGAACAAAAGGAAGGGCTGACTCTGCCACGAGCTTTAATTGTTGTTGCTTTTAATAATTTTGAAAGGGAAGATGATTGTGTCAGATTGTGTATATCTATGTGTCTGGCCTTGCCCAACACCAGTAAGGGAATCCAATGCAATGGCTCGTGCGGCCTGTGATAATTGTTTTTTATATTGCTATTGATTTTTTTTCTTCACCAAGGGAATCTTTCAGCAGTAATTTAAATCATTATCTGTAGTAATTTGTAAATATATAAATATTACTTGGGATATTAGGGTTCGGCCCAGCAACCCGGTTCAAAATATCCTTAAAGCTAGCCCGAAAGGAGCCACGGAGCCCAATGAATACCTGATAGTTCCCAAACGGGGTTTCCCTAGTCGGGTATGAACCGTTCGATAGGTCCCGGGTAAAATTCCATACTTGACTGATAACAAGCATCATTCTTGGCTACTAGTTCATCATTGGCCTAAAGTACCGATCAAGAAAGCCTCGCAAGTGGCAGAGGCGCATTTAATACTGGAGTATGGGCACTCAAGTGGAGGCATGGATGTTGCAAGTGGCAAGGGGGTCAACCATGCGGATTCAACCACGGTAATCATCCACCTACCCACCTCTAGTATAAATAACATCATTTATTTAATTGTAAAGGGTTAACATTTTGATACTCACTAGCAGCAGGGAGGACCAGCATATGTTCAAAAGTGTTCATGTGAACACCCGAAATTTTTAACTAGTAGTGTAAAAATACATATATATGGATGTTTGTGTCAAAACTTATATATGTATTTGAACACCCAAAACTCATAAAATAAATTTGAACCTTCAAAATTTATGTACAAGATCAGCCACTGAGTCTAGTACGGAGTAGTATACTTCACTCTAGCTCTTGACGTCAGGGGCGGATCCAGGAATCTGAGATGCCCTGGGCTGAGAAGCAATTATACTAGACTTTAACATTAGCGAAGTGGGCTGGATATGAAAAATAAAAAAATTTACACTAAAAATTTAAAAAAATATTAATTTACACTGGGCTTCAACTCACCATAACCTGTACATAGATCCTCCCCTCGTCATAATCATTCTAATACACTTGGGCTATTAAGTTATCAGTGAGTTGATTTCCTTTCCTAATTATCATTCACTTGAGAAGCTTTTATTCATATTCCTTTGGATCTAGACGTATTAACCTCAACAATTACTTTTTACTTCCTTTCAAAATTTATCTTCAATGAAAATTATGTAATTGAGTATTATACGTACACACGGGAAAGAAATGATATGAAAAACGAACTCTTTATTCTAAAATTCAATTGAAGTTTACTTTACTTTGGAATGGATGAAAAAAAACGAGTAGAGATAATTTTGAAGGCTGAGGCAGTACGTAGTATGGTAAATATTTATCTCGACCCTTAAATCCAGGCAGTACAAATGGATATAGGCGTTAATTAGCATCTTCTAAGTAAATACTTATTAGTATTAGTACTATATTATAGCCATGTTATGAAAATGTCCTTTTGCAAAATAACAATAGTTTTTTTACTCACTTTCACATTTTTGAATGATGACAACAATGATTTTATGGTTTTGGTGAATAACATGTGAGCTTATTAGTATTTCGAATAGAAAATGTGGAATTGAAAAATGTTTAGAAGATAAATGAGTACGGTCCAAATGAAGACATTCCACTTAAAGATCTCTCATACGAGGCATTAGATTCAAGTCCCTAAATATATGAACATGGAATGCTTAACTTTTCTCCTATAATGATTTTCCAGATGCTGGACCAATTTGAGAAGTCGAGAAATAAATGTTTCATCTCGCCTCCCTCCGTCCATGAATTTACTTCCATAATAAAGTGGCACGTTAATTAAGAAAGTGAGAATTGTGTGGTGGAGATCAGAATTGTGCAGATGAGAGAGAAACGCTGTGAACCACAAATTCTTTACATAAAAGGGAAAGCGAAGTACTTTTTGGGACGAACGAAAAGGGAAAGTTAAAAGTATTTTCAGGGGCGGAGGGAATAGTTAATAGTGTTTCACTCATGAGTGATGGTTCTCTCTTGAATTGTACTAGTAACCCACGAAATCAATCTGCTTATGATTTCGTATGTGCGGAGGTGTATATAGATAGAGTTTAAGCTAATAAGATTTACTTCTCAAAGGTGTATATATCGCAGAGAAAAAAATCTAAAGGAATATGTAAGTGATGCGAATAAAAAATTCTTTATCAAAAAGAAAAGAGAAAATTATTTTGAAATAGATGATAAAGAAAAGTTGGAAGATAATTCAGGGACGGAGGGAGTAATGCAATTACAATCTCCGTACAATTCTCTATCGTACTTTTACTGTTTTACTCACAAAAAGAACATTTGTGATATATATACATTGTGTAAACATTTAAGGATAGTAAATTATATAGTGAAATTTTATGTTTTATTATATTCTTTCAATAAATTTTTTCTCAATCTTGACCTTCCTAACTTGTCATTTCTGGCTTGGCCACACCAGTTACTCCACACTTGATGAATTGATGGATGCATTGTCATGTGTTTGTTAGAGTTCTTACCAAGTGATATATTCACCACTCTGACATTATCATCTCGTTTGTTTTCCAGCGTGTTGGGTGCGACATGCTGCAAAATGCAAAGTTTTGCACTTTTATAGTTTAAAAAGATTAACCTTTTGGGTACAAAGTTGTCATCCAACCAAAGGCCTATACACTAAAGTAGCTGCCCCCTCCTCGGGTCAAAACTTTGTACTTCCTCCGTTGCAACCACTACTACATTTAAGCATCTAATGTAACATTAATTATGTAACATTTATACTAAACTGTTACTTATTTGATCTATTGTAACACATTCTAATTTTTTAAAACAAATGTTACAATCTTAAGCATAAACGTAACATTTTTCATAACAATGTAACATCTTTTAATATTGTAACAGAATAATGTAACACTTCCTCGTTAAAATAAAATTCACCGCTGTTTTGTTGGCGCGCACGCCCTTAATTATGCTTGCCGCCACCGTAAAAAAAGACCGCCAAATTTTTTAGCCCTAGGCATCTTTTCCCGTAATGGAGTATCCAAATCCAAAAAAGAAACACAGGTATCACCCAAAAACCCTTTCCCACTTCTCCACAGGCTTTTTCTTCCACATCGATCTCCTCTCCAAGTGACGATTCTTTTCACGCCTTAGCCGCATCTCGTTCACTGACTTTCACTTCAGCGGCGACCACAACCAGAAAATTGCTGCTTTGTCGCTCACAGGCTCTCACTTCCACGGGAGACCAATTGCTTTGTCGTTCCAATCTGTCACCGGTTTCAGAGGAGCGGATTCATCGACAACGAGGGTCGGCTGGGTCTATCTCCACCTACAGACTTCTTCATATCTTCTCTATCCCCATAACCAATCGGTAAGCTTTCCATCTCAAGTCTTATGTGGGTTGCTACAATCTGAAAAAGATACTCCGTATGATTCTTATTTCGTTCAACCTATGTCTACTCTGTTGAAGCTTCTTAGATTTCTTTTTTATGTTATGCAATTAGGGTTTATACGAAATTCTATTTAAAAAGCATTTTAATTCAACCTATGAAACATTATGTGAAGGATTCATCCGGCATCTATATAATTTCCATTCAATTTCATTGGATATTGACATGAAGCAACAATATACTGTAATATTCTGTAGTGTTATATATTAATGGGTATATATTCTTATCAAGTTTAATTGGCTTCTCTTGAGCTTAGTGTGATATTGACAGGACAAATGGATATTACGGGAAAATGAAGAGAGGATTTAGTGTAGCAGACCTCATGGAAATTTTAAATTTTGTGAGACCATATTCATTGACAACATCTGTAACCTGGCTTGACTTTCTCTCATTGTATACACATGTTTGTGATTATTATATTGCACAATTTCATTTATTGACACAAATAAAAAGTAATTCAAGTTATGCACCCAACAAATTGCACAAATTTGTAGCACCCTGCTACCCATTTTCAAATGATGGTTAATTAATTTTATGGTTTTACAAACGTGGTTTTGCATCTTCAATACTAATTAAAGTAATGTTTTACTATCTCTATACAAATTTGATCAATTAGAGATACTCAAAATATCTTTTCTCATCAGATTTAAAGTGCACAAATGGATTGGCTACTTTATCTGTTGGTAATTCTACAGTTCCAATGATGGAGATTCTTTTAATATTAACCAAACGATAGGTAATTTAGCCATCATGTTAGCTTTGAAAAGTCATTTAGTCATGGTAAAACATGAGGATTGAGTAGGTAAATTACTCGTTTTCACTTTTTTCATCATTTTATTCGCCTAGTATTTATTTAATTATATCTGAACAATTATTAATTTTGAAAAAATAGAATAGTTTTTCTCTTTTAATATTACCTACCAAGTGCGACAAATGTTCACCCAGTTTCTTCTTTTACAGTAGTTCTAGTTTGTGTCTTGACTTGCTTCCCATTTTTTTCAAGGCCAAGTTTTTGCCTTGCTTGGTTGCGTCTGGTTCTGGGTGGGTTTTACCTTGCTTGGCGGCGCCTGTTTATGGGTTGTTAATTCTCAAGTCAAATCATACGCATGTGATTTGGATTATAGTTCGGGCTTAAAATATAGGCTAGCTATTTATTATTCCCTGGAAGCTACTATTTCAGAATACTGATCTAGTTGCAGTTTCTTTGGTTAGCATTAATCTGGACTCTAAATGTTCTTGCTGTGAGTTTTAAAGAAACCATGTCGGCACATGAATAGATGAATTAGAAAGGGAGAGTTGTGTTATCATTAGGAGATAATATTACTTTTAACTTTTGGCCTTTTACTATAAATGATTAAAGAGGGAGATTGAGGAGGGGTAAAAGATATCTTTTTTTCTGCTCCCACTTTTTTCTATAAAGTCTACACTTAAGATTAACTGATAAGGTTTAGAATAAATAAGTTAAAGTACTTGGAATAATAGCTAAGGTACTTTGAGGATTATGATAGTTTATTTTACCTTTATTTTAAATCATTTTTATTAGACAAATATATGGGTTCTCTACTTTGTTTCAAATCTTTAAAAACTACCCTTATTGCTTTCAAGTTGGTATATCCCATTTTATTCCAAACTAATAATTATAACCTAATTATTGAAAAAGTACCCCTAAATAAAAGGCCCAGAAGGCTTGGAATGATAAAAACTACTAATTGAAAATGGTTAAGTTTTTAGTTTAGACATCCAGGGCCGTCTCTAGGACTTTTGATGCCCCAGACAAAGAATGACCAATGAGATCAAATAGTATATATTTAAAATTAATAATGAAATTTAACTTGAAGTAATCAGAAAATTATAACCCCATATATATATATAAAATAACAACAACAACAACAACAACAACAATAATAATAATAATAGTAAAAACTACTACAAATACCCTCATCCCCCTAAGATTGAGACAAAAGAGAGTGATGCAGTTTTTTAGAAAAATAGTGTTATGTGCTTGATATTGAATTGATAAGCGTGAATACAGTAAGAATAAATTAGACTCACTCAAATTTTATCAAATATGATATGAGACAAAACTTAATGGGACATGCATGAAATAAAAAATGGGACAAATATAGTGGGACGGAGGAGTACAAAATAGTAATTTAGCACTTATTAGTTATACTACAAGTTTGTAAATATCATTTTAAAAGAACAAGTTTGAATCTAAGTTTGATAAACGAATAACACACATATTATACGCATGTGTACACATTTTATACATACTACAAATGTATATTAATTTAAGAAGTAATAATAACTCACTAAGTAAATAATACACCTAAATAATACGGAGTAAAGTAAAGATGCCAAGTGCCACTAGTCCTGCCAAGTGCCACAAGTCTATAAACACACAATTACTCTAGTTGAATACACATATCCATCAAATTAGAATTTAATCTACACTCCTTATGCCGTTTCGGCGTTTTCCTGCATTATATGTAGTTGACCGCACATGTACTGGAAGCTTGATGCATAGTAGTACTAGAAAACGAAAAAATGATGCCCCTCCTAAACTTGGTGCCCTAGGCAATAGCCTAGGTGCCTGGCCCCCAAAGCCGGCACGGTAGACATCCTCATACAAGAAAATAATTACCCATTGTAATGTAATGAACAAAAAAAAAGTAATGAACAAATTAATGTTAAAAACATAAGTTTCTTAAGCAATACTAATAGCAAATCCACAATTTTAACCAAAAGTTATTTAGTAACTATATAGATATCACAATTGCAACTAATTTTGTAGGTGTAGATTGTTATCTAACTAATTATACCATAGTGTAGGTGTAGATTGTTGGTATGGCTGCACTTTAAGACAAATCCAATCTCCGTTGTAACAAGGTGATTTAGCTTGAATCAAAGTGGCATTTTCTTCAAACTGTGTATGCATCAATTTGCATATTTTATTTTATTAAGGTTTATTGTGATTCTGTGTAAATTTGAACTTTTTTTTTGTATGTGTGGCATAGTTTTTCATCCTTCAGGGATTTTTTTAACTTATTCTTGGATAAAGTAATATTAGTTGTGCAGTTCGGTGGCATTTTTTGTAGCGGCTAAAACTTTTCTATACATGGATCAAGAAAATAGACACTGGTGGACATTTCCTAGGTGGACTGATAAGTACGAAAAGGGATTAGATGACTATGTAAAAACTGCATTGGCAACAGAGGCTCAAGGAAATGAAATCCGTTGTCCATGCAAAAATTGTTGTTATCGTTATTGGTATCAAGAAAACACAGTGAAAGATCATGTAATAGCAAAAGGTTTTGTGCCATCATCAGAACAACTAGAATCAAGGATGAATGATCACGATGCAGATTATTGTGATAGATTGAATGATGACATAGACGGCTTGCTACGCGATAGTTTTCCAGAAGGTCCTAATGAAGAGGCAACCAAATTTTACAAGTTGGTGGAAGAAAGTCAACAAGAATTGTATCCCGGATGCAAGGATTTCTCAAAACTTTCCTTTACCATCAGGCTTTTTGTTTTTAAGCGGGATCACAAGTTGAGTAATGCTGCATTTGATGATTTATTGGAACTTCTAAAGGCTCTCCAACCCCATGCGAACATTCCATCCTCATTTACAGAAGCTAATACTATGCTGAAAGTATTAGGTCTTGATTATATAAGGATAGATGCATGCCGTAATGATTGTATGTTGTTCTGGGAGGAGCATGCAAATGAAACAAGATGCCATGTTTGTAAGACTTCCAGATGGAAGTCAAAAACCAATGATGAGACAACAAAAAAACATCACCAAGTTCCTGCAAAGGTTTTAAGGTATTTCCCAATCAAGAAAAGATTACAGAGGCTGTACATGTGTTCAGAAACTGCACAGTATATGACATGGCACACAAGTGGACGCAAAGATGATGGACTAATAAGACATCCAGCCGATGGTAAATCTTGGAAGAGCTTTGACTTACGTTTTCAGGAGTTCTCAAAAGAGCCTCGGAATGTGAGGTTAGCATTAGCAACTGATGGGTTCAGCCCTTTTAATACGATGAGCATTACCCATAGCACATGGCCAGTTATGTTGATCAATTATAATTTACCACCATGGATGTGCATGAAGCCTGAGTTCATTATGCTAACTCTATTAATACCGGGACCCTTTTCTCCAGGAAATGACATCGATATATACTTGCAACCACTGATCAAAGATCTGAAAGAGTTATGGGATTCTGGGATTGAAACTTATGATTCTTCAAGAGATAAAATGTTTAATATGCGTGTGGCTCTGTTGTCGACAATTAGTGACTTCCCAGGTTACGCAATGCTATCTGGATGGAGCACCAAAGGGAAAACAGCCTGCCCAAATTGTCATTATGAAACATGTTCACAATATCTAAAACACAGTAAAAAAATGTGTTATATGGGTCATCGGAGGTTCCTGGACAGGTACCACCCATATAGAAGATGCAAAAGGCAATTTAATGGAAAGGTAGAGGATAAAGTTGCACCAACTCGCTTGTTAGGGATTGAAGTTTTTGAATTATTATCTAATTATCAAAACAAATTTGGAAAAGACATAAAAAAGAAGAAGAAGAAGAGGCTTGATGATAATCCATGGAGGAAAAGGTCAATATTTTTCGATCTCCCATACTGGAAATATGTTTTATGCCCCCATTCTCTTGATGTTATGCACGTAGAGAAAAACATATTCGATAATATTGTTGGGACTTTGCTAAATATTTCTGGGAAGACCAAGGATCATATGAAAGCACGAATGGATTTAGTTGAACTCAATATCATGCATGAGCTCCAACCGAAGGAAAGTGAAGATGGTAAGCGAATTCAAATTGCAAAATCACGCTTTTGGATGACTGAGGAAGAAAAGCGAACATTCTGCCATGTTATCAAAAGTGCTAAGTTACCGCAAGGGTGTAGTGGCAACATATCAAGATGCGTTCAAGTTGATGACAAAAATATTTCAGGATACAAAAGTCATGATGCTCACTTTATGATGCAATATTTACTGCCCATTGCAGTTAGATCAACGCTACACAAGGATGTAGCTGTCCCATTAATGAGATTAAGTGCATTTTTCAAGGGCATATGCAATAAAGCTATTAAGTCAGAGGACCTTGATAAGTTGCAATTAGAGATCACAGAGACCCTTTGTCAGTTTGAGAGAATATTCCCACCCAGCTTTTTCGATGTAATGGTTCATTTACCTATTCACTTAGTTGAGGAAATTAAGAATGGTGGGTCTGTTTTGACAAGATGGATGTATGCAATCGAAAGATACCTCCGTAAGTTGAAGTTATATGTTAGAAACAAGGGTCGTCCCGAGGGATCAATGGCTGAAGCATACATAGCTGAAGAGTGTGTCACATTCTGTGCTAGGTACTTGCATGTAGATGTGAAGGATAGATGTGATAAATTGAAAACAAAGTCATGTGATGGTGCTGAAATTGATCAAAACCCGCCTATTTTTCCAAAGATGGGTCACCCTATATCTGGAAGAGGAAGAAAAAAAAAGAACAAAGAAGAACATGGTGAATACAATATTGATCTAGCTACCTTAGCTCAAGCTCACCGTTATGTGATATTCAATTGTAACAATGAAGATGTTGAAAAATATATCAGGTAATATATTTAGAATATATTTAAGTTTTAAAATTTAAGTATTAATATGTATTAACATCATGACTAGATTTTTATGTATCGGTGCAGTGAACACAATGCGATTGTTACTAGGCGACAAAAGCGAAAATGGAGTAGTGCTCAAAGACATGGAAGAGATTTTACCGATTGGTTTAGAGAGAAAGTCGAAGAGGAGCTAGGCCTTGGCCATGTTCTTCCAGATCATATCAGATGGTTATCTGTAGGACCATCATTCATTGCTAAAAGATATACAGGATATTTTGTTAATGGTTATAGGTTCCACACTATGAAACGTGATGCAAATTGTCTTACTGAAAATAGTGGGGTCACACTAACGGCATTGACTCAAAGTTTTGCGAGTAGTAAGGATCAAAATCCAATCACAGGAGATGTTACTTATTATGGCTCAATAAAAGAAATAATTGAGATACACTATCATGATAAATGCACGGTTGTATTGTTCAAGTGTTTGTGGTTTCATGCTGAAAAAGATGAATACGGGCTTACACGAGTTAATGTGAAAAAACTTGTTAGTGAAGAGGAGCCATTCATCTTGGCAACTCAAGCACAACAAGTGTTCTATGTGGATGACCCAAATAATGAAGGATGGCGTTATGTTATCCACAATCTTCCTACTGATAATAGCATTGAAAATGATGATATGAATGATGATTCTGGAGATCCGGGCTTGTTAGATGTTAACTCCTCTGTTTGTGAGAAGATTCTTGGTATTGATCCCGAGGATGAAATAACACGCGTCAGAGTAGATGTGCCTGCAACAGTAATTGACAAGGAAACAATGATTGTAGAATTGGAAAGAGATTTGAATGATAGGCCACTGATGGCATGACGTATATTGTTAGTGTGTTATGTCTTATTTTTAATGTTTAGTTGCAGATGATTTTAAACATTTGCATTTTAATTTACATTTGAATTTTGCTTGTGTTACAGCAGTATCATATCTATTTATGCGAATAACTTTTTTCTAATGTGAAATACATCATTCTCTCAGGCATTGCTCGATTTTGTCAACAAATGGGAAAAAGAAAAGTTTCACCACCTCAGCTGGGTGCAGGTTTAACAGAGTATGAAATAAATAGACTAAAAAAGCTGCAATTCAATGCTTCAAGGATGGAAGCTGCGGGTTTCAAAACTCTGGCCAACAACGTGCTACTGCCACAATATAACATAAATGAAAGAAGACTTGTAGATGATGATGTATCAGAAGAAGAAGAAGTTCAAGAAGGGTATGGAGCTAGTTATATTGATGAGGGTGAAGCACAAAACAAGGTATTCTGAGTCATTGTTAACACTTTATGATTGAATTGGCATAAGTATTTGTCATATTTTAATGAAATCTGATCAATTTATCCAGGCTTTATGGAGTGATAAGAATCAAACACTTAAAGGAGCAAGACATTCTTTGGCAGAAAAAATGACCATGGCTGAGTTTGCAAAGTTAAGATCTCAAAAAAGACAAAAATCAAAGAGTAGTGCTACTAAAAGACTGATCGATGAAGATGTATTACACGGAAAAGAAGATAGGCAAAATGAGGTACTTATTTCTTGTTAAACCTAGTTATGCAATAATTAAAATATAATGATATACTTTTTTTAAAGTGTGAAATGGATAAAGCCACACACAAAATGAGAATTAAATGCACAAATAACGCAAGCCCAAAATATCCAGATGAGTTACTCCCGCTACCTCCCTGCAAACATCTGCGAGCTTCTATAAAAATAACTTCCCAGCAGCTTCTGTAGAAATATGTAGATGAATGGCATCATGTTTAATAACATCCCAGGAGCTTCAGTTAAAATTCCAAGTAATAAAGCCATGCATTCCCTCTATTGTAGGGTAACATTCCCACCTCTCTTTAATAAAAGGCCTAATGTATCAAAGTCTGTCAAAACGATCTAATTGACCAAGTATCTATACATCAAGGCACTCCCACACCCTCCCACTAGATTTGACCAGACCAAGTAAACACAGATCTAATAATAGGAAGCTGAGATTATGGCATACTTATTATACATTAATTTTTGTTTAAATGTATTATTCTTCATATGAAATCAAAGAAAGAACAAGAGAAATGTTTTATTGTCTCAGGTGTTGTCTATGATCAATTTTTCTAATCCAAGACCTGAAACTCCTTGTGGATCTTCACAAGTAAAAGATCATCAAGCAATACATCAACAACAGAATATGGAGATCAGAAGTCTAAGATCAAACAAAAAAGAAAATCAAAGACTTGGAAAGCCGCAAGTTCAGCAACGACAAAAGTCAAAAGAAATGGCAACATCAGGTGCATATTTGAAGAATTCTCAATTCTGTCCGCCAGGCTCCCTAGCTATGTACATGACAATGCGCAAAAGACAACACGAACAAAAGAAGCAAGAGGGGATGCAACATCAAGAAAATATGCACAGTGAGTCTCTTTTTGAGGAACAATCTGGAAATGTTTTAACAAATAGGAATGAAGACAATGTTTGTGTGGAACACATATCAGAAGATGATGATCAAGTAGTTCACATCGACAAAAGTGTCGAGGTTAATGGAAATGGTGTGGACCATGAATATCAAGAAACAAATGAAGATACCATCATTCCAGGTAATATCTATTAAAATGTCATGTTTGCATTATTCTAAGTAATATTTATTTATTCTTATTTATTTTGTAACTAATAGCTAAGGGTCAAAGGAAGAAAAGAGGGCCTACGACTATGATAGATGTGCATCGACGTAAACCTGATGAGCGTGAACTAATTATTCTGAATGCAAATGGGCAACCCATTGGACCTACCAGAGAGTGTGTTACTAAATTTAGTCGGTTTCTGGGAACATTGGCTAAATCTCCTCATCTAGCACCTCTGAATTGTGCTAGTTGGATATATATGCCCACAAAGGAGAAGATCTGGAAATATGTGAAGGTAGAATTTCTAAATTTTACTATTTATTTTATGTAAGTTATTGAATGGATTATATAATACATTCTTCAAATATTCAACACATTTCAATTATAATATATGATAATACATACATGACTAAATATAATGAAATAGATATTATTTTTTTAGTTAATATATTCTAGGTATATAATATATATTCCAATAACTATTATGCTAATAATATATTTAAGACATGCCTATATTTAATGACTATTATGCTCCTCTTTCTTAACCATCTTGCTGGAACAAACTATTTTTTCTTCCTTATAACCGACTAGAATAAACTATTACTTTAAACCAGCAAGAATAAATTCATCCTTAATATGTTAAGATCAATTAAACAAACAAAGGTAAAATAAGTGTACATGGAATTCGTATAAAAACTTCACCTTGTTTTTTTTTCTTTTCATTATAAATGGTTGTGTTTTGAAGTGGATATTACAAAGCAGCAGACATTTCTAAATTTAGCCATAGAAGCTAGGTAAGTTGTTGAATGAATTATAATTATCAAATTTTATGTAGGAGAGATATATCATTGCCGAGGAAGGAAAAAAATGGGTTTTGGAAACTACGAATGCTTTGTGGCGTGTTCATAAGTCAAGGTTTAAAAAGGAACACTACAATTCATTTGAAACTGATGAAGAAAGATTGGCATTTCGTCCAAAAAATATTCCGGTAAAGCAATTTGAAGAACTCCTAGAGTACTGGGATTCTGATATGTCTAAGGTATTCAACAGATTTCAATTATATTGATGTCAGTGTGCTATGCAATTTTTTATTTTTGAATGAGTTGTATATGTAGGAAATATGTGACAAAAACACAAAGAGTTGTGCATTACGAAGTGATGTGCATACCATGGGCCCTTCATCTTATGCTCTATTACGCCATGAACTGGTAATGGATATATTTTTTAACGGAAGGGCATTTCTGTAATATCATATTGTATGGTGCTTTGTTGATAGAATTAATTATATTGAGTAACATGTGTATATTGTTCTTTTTGTAGCAACAAAACGACCAAAATAATCAAGCACCCACTCAAGCAAAAGTCTATAAAGAGTCTAGAAAACGAGATCCTAAACGAGTTTATAAGTCAAACAGCGAGAAGACATTGCAAAACATTGTAAGTTACACATTTAGTTTTTAAAATGTAGAAGATGAATAAAATTTAATTGCTAAAAATAAAATTGATATCATATTCATTATCTTTCATTCTTTTGTATAGGAAGCAATAAATGTACAAGAATCTCAACATGATAAAGAAGCAGAAAGTAACTCCTTGAAGGATGCTTATTGTGAGGTTGTAGATAATGGGCATTTACGTCTTTATGGAAGAGGTGCAACCAAATCTAAGCTAAATAAAAAGAGTAAAGTTGCTGCGCCTAGCTACATATGTCCTCCTGAATTCTTTCAGAGTATCAAGGAAAACCTCATCCGTGAGTTAGCTCCAGTATTAACATCTGCAGTTGTGTCACAAATACAAGCAGCCAATCCTGGGATTCAACTTAAAGTTCCTGAAATTTTTGTTGCTTCAGAAGATACTCCATGTGCTAGGTCTTGTTTATTTAAGGTAATTGCTCATTTCACTAATTGCTGTTTTAGGAGTTTGATGCTTTTAAGTTATGGTGTTATATGTTTAGCTAGCAAGTACTGAATTCATGCCTAATAGCATTTGAAAGTTTAACAGTTAAAATAAAGGAATGTATATTTGTTGTCATGGAAATGTTCAAATTTGGGGTTGCCAAGAGTAGTGGTTTGATAGAAGAATAGTTAAAACAAAAAAATCATATATATTATTGAAAAAAGATTAGTTTTGGTTAATTAGCTTTATTTTTTCAGTAATTGAATTGATCATTCTTCTCCAGAATTGAAAAAACCAGTTTAATTCTTTCTACTCAATCATTTCAACTAATTTGAGTTTGGTTTATTTCAATTTGCAGGATAATGAAAACTCAGACTCGGAATCTATTGACTAGAAAAGCTTGGCTATGCGTAGCAGTAGATCGTGATGATGGAACTTTAAGTATAAAATTGTTTTTTTTGCTGAGAGCTAAATTTTTGGAGACATTAGAAAGTTGTTCGGTCTAGACCATTTACTATCTTTTAATTTAGACTCTCTCTTAACTTTATGCTTATGTAGTGAATGTTGTCATGATGGAGTTATGTTGAATTTATATATATAATTAATTTGATGAATTTTCTTTTGTTGGCAATAATATATGTGCAATCTCTGATAATATATGAAGCATATATAGTGTATATATTGTGTGGATGTATATTTATAGGGTGTGTACCTACATATAATGTAACATAATTTCAAAAGTGTAACACTTTATAATAATGTAACAGTTGTTCTCAAATGTAACACTTTATTCTAATGTAACAATTCTTCTCAAATGTAACACTTTATAATAATGTAACAGTTTTTTTTTTAAATGTAACAGTTGTATTGTCTTTACTAAAAGTGTTACATTTGGAATTAAAAGTGTTACAATAGGTCAAATGCAACGCAAGCAAATGTAACTGGCGAAAAGTGTTACCTTTTTTATAAATGTAACACTTTCAGATGATATTGTAATACATTCGAATGTTACATTAGATGCTTAAATGTAGTAGTGAACAGTCAACATTTCACGTTTGCCAACGCACTAGTTTGACCATTTAAAAAATTTAAAAAATATATATTTTAAAAATTTCTAATGAGAAGAATTTAACAATATTTTTTTAAAATTTATTTTGTAATACATTAATTAATAAAGTATAGTCAAAGTAGAATATGTGAATAATACAAAAAGTCCAATGTTGTAATTAAAAGAGAACGGAGTTAGTAAATGATTTATAGCTCAAACTTTTGCAAAGCAATGTGTATCGATCGTGAAAGCTCCATGGTCAGTTCTCGCCTGGCTTATGAAAGACAATGATCACCTTTATTTAGTGGATCATTATTGTAGATGCACGGCGGATGTATGGTTCTGTTCTGACTTCTAAGGAAATTCTACTTATTGGGCAGGGTGGTTGCCATGAGGCCCACTTGCACTCTTCAATTTATATCAAACTATTAAAAAAAAAACTGAATCCCCAATCCCAAAGGTTACGATGTCTTGACTCGACAGGACATATGAGAGGTTGTAAATCACGGTGACTCAGTCATATCAATGGTGGTAAACTTCATATCCGTGTGAACTAGAGATCCAGTCCAGCACACACAGGAGCTGTAATCTCCATTGCGGGGTTTGGTCCTTGATCATTCCTCCAACTTTCCTATCACTCGATTATCTGATTTACTCATGAGGGTATTTTATACCCAGCATTGTTCTTGGACTACGGTGGGAAATTATCTTACACATTATAATTATATTTTATACATGTTACCCTTCGTATTAAAATAAATGCTTCAGTAAACTTTTCACGTAGTCAAACTATAGCAATAATTATAGAACAGAGGATAGTACATTTTTTAAAAAGTAATGTAGGAGATTTTTGGTCCCGTAGCACTAATATTTACTGTATTAAAGTCTAATGTAGTTGCTTTTGAGGTGAATTTATGAGCCCGTTTGGTGATCACGTTTTTGGTTTAATTATCAGGCATTCGGGCTTATCATCCAACTTTTCACCAAACACGTAACTTTTGATTTCGTACAGTGGATTGTGTAATACTCCCTCCGTCCGTAATAACTTTGTCAAGTTTGACTGGCATGAGAATTAATAAAGTAAAAACTCTATGGTTGATGTTTTTGCAGAGCAGAGAGAATTAACCGGAACCACAAATTCTTTACTTAAAAGAAAAAGTGACAAAGTTAATGAGACATCCCAAAAAGGAAAGTTGGCAAAGTTATCAGGGACGGAGGGAGTACTACGTAATAAGAAAAAGTAAGGTTGGAGTTATTGTATTGGCTGATGCTACTGAAGAGTATCATTTTAGCTGTTTTTCATATAATTTTTCTTTATCTTATTAATAAAATAAATTTTAAGAATAATTTTTTTAACAAATCAGCAGAATCAGTCAATCCAGTCACTTCAGCTAGAACTTCATTTCAGCAGAATAATCCAATACAGTAGATAAAGAAAAATTATACGAAAAGTGAGACACTAATTTTGATATGATCCGAAAAGAAAGGTGAGACATAAGGAGTATATTATTGATAAAGTGTGCAAAAAAAAGGGCAGTGTTGAATGTGAAAATTATATCATGAGATACTTGTAAAATATATTATCACTTTTTGAAACTTTTCATATTGGAAAGGTAATAATAAGTATTGTGTTCGCTAAATTTCTTATTTTATATTAATGTACGGAGTAAATAATGTATTATGTGCAATTAAATCGTCACAAATTTGAATTTATTTTACTTATTTTGCATAATCATATTAGGCCGGTTGATATAATTCAATTATATCATAATTACATGATCAATATATTTTAGGAAAAATTTACAAGAATAATCCCACCTTTCACTAGTTTTTTCTCATAATAATCTCACCTTTACGTAATTCCAGAATAATCCCACTTTTGCACCACATCTTTTTATTACTTTTTCTATCATTTTGTTCTTATTTCTTTTCCATTTTTATTATTCTATTTCTCACTCTATGAGAGAGTTTTTTTTGTAAAATTTCTCTTCAAAATAGCTCTTTTTGTCATTTTCTTTTCGTATTTTTATTTCATTTCCATTTTGATGTTTTTCTTCATAATCATTCTCTTCTTATTTAAGATCTTACTTTAAAAGTGAAAATATAAAAGCGGAAAAGTGAAAATAAAAAAAGAACATAACAAATAGTAAAGTGAGAAAAAAAATCTTTAATACGAAAAGAATAATTAAGAAGAAAAGCATAAAAAGGGAAATGAAATAAAATACGGAAAGAAAAAATGACAAAAAACTATTTTGAAGAGAAATTTCACAAAAAAAATCTCCTAATAGAGTAAGAAAAAGAATAATAAAAATGGAAAAGAAATAAGAACAAAAGGATACAAAAAGAAATAAAAAGTGTCTAGGGATGAAAATAAATAAAGAAAAATTTTAGGGAGAAAAAAGAAAAAATGAAACATGGGACCGTTTTGAGCAGCTTTGTGAAAGGTGAGATTATTTATATAAGGTTTTCAAATAAATGGTAAAAAACCTGGTATAGTAGGCCATCAACACGTCAGGGTCCAACGAAAGAAGATGAGGTGAAATGTGGGTTTATTCTGGGTTTACGTAAATGTGGGATTATTATGAGAAGACCAGTGAAAGGTGAGATTATTCTTGTCAATTTTTCCTATATTTTATAGATATAGTTATGCAAATGTCAGCAGGAACTGATTGTAGTGCATGTATTTTGACTACTATTGAGACAACCTTAGGTTTCCCATTTTGTTTCATTTGAAAGGATGTTTGAAAAGAAATGGTATTGTGATGGCACTAAAGTCGCATGTCTATGAAAATAAACTTTGATACTTAGATACTAATACCGTAGTATAGCGAAGTAGAGTTTGTATCCACTGGAAAATTAAATTCTTCTTGTGTGAAATTGTAACAACAGGAATTCTTAAGTTTGTATGACTTGAGAATATAAAAACCACTAGAGATATGAGTGTGGAAGAATAAATACTCAAGAAAAGAAGTTTGCAAAAATAACTCACATCTTCAATATTAACCATGTTTCAAGATAGCAAATCCAAGATAAAGGATTTTGGCTACTCATTTGAAGTCTAAGCGTGAATATCTAGAATGGTAAGCAAAATTGTGCTTTTATAAGAGTTTCGGGGCTACTGGATCGGATTCCCGACCAGGTATCCATGGTAGTCATGTCTGACCGGGTATCCTTAGCATGGTAGTCATACCCTACCGTGTACGTTTTCTGAATTCTCTTGCTTTACTTGATCTTGTATATCTCCGGGTCAAATCATACCCACCGGGTATTGATTATACCCGATTGGGTGTGTGACCAAATCATATTGGTTGCATGATACTTTGCTCCATTGAATCTTTTCTTTGATCTTGTAGTCTTGTACCATCTCTCTCATGTTGTTGGTTCTTGATTGATTCTTGCTCAAAATCATTTTAAAGTTATTAAATTACCACAAATTAGAAAGATAAAAGGTTGCACTAGAAATGTGTAATTACTGCCACACATAGTAAAAACTAGTTAAAAATAGAATACTGTTAAGACACGGGGTTCCATCCTAAAAGGTCAACCTGATAGGAGGAGTAGCCCATGTGTTAATATAGCACTTTATTCATCCAAATGTTTCCGGTGTGGGACATTTAACACCCCTCCTCACGACCAGACACTTCGTCTGGATCGTGCAATCATTCATTTTTTTTCATCGGTCCGTTTTTTTTTCATCCGACCGTTATCGCCGTTTTTTTTATAATCGTGTTATCACGATTCATAAGGGGCCCCACACCATGGATCAATTTGGCTCTGATACCATGTTAAGATCCAGGGTTCCATCCTAAAAGGTCAACCTGATAGGAGGAGTAGCCCATGTGTTAATATAGCACTTTATTCATCCAAATGTTTCCGGTGTGGGACATTTAACAAATACACAATCATGGAAAAACTAACACAATTATATTATTTGACGTTGGATAGTTGTGGTTGTTTGTATTACTTTTAAAACAGATGAAGCCAAACTATAATAACTCAGATTATCCCAAAAACAATCTGAGGTGCTTCTATTCAACAATAATCACAATATTAAATACATAAAAATTGGAGGTGCTTCTCTAAAAAAAGAACCGCAGGTGGGGAAAAATCAATTTGGAGGCGCTTCTCGTAACAGAAGCGTCGTACAACTCATACGAAAAGAAAAAACCATAGTTGCACTTCCTTATATAGAAGCACCCCAGACTACGCATGTCAGGCACACAATTTAGATGTTTTGTAAATCGCCGCACTCGGCCTAAAAAGCGTCTCTGTTTGCTGCTTTTAATACCAATATATATATATATAGAGAATGAATCGGATGAGAAGCCCTCTTAAATTGAAAAATGAGAAGTGATTAGAGTCGTCCGATCCGGTAAAATCTTACGGCTATGCAGTGCTTCTAATTAAATACGTAGTCTTTCGTAGAGGTAGTTTCATCTATTCCCTTTACCAAGAGTTTCTCTCTCCTTATCTAATTCTCTGCTCATTGACTCCTCTCTTTTCCTTTTTCTGTCACAAGCTCGATCTTACCGATTTCTTCGTTGATAACGCAACGTTGAGCGGGTTCCAATGGTTTATATCTAAAG